AGTGGTACATTACAAAGATTAGGGGACCCAAATCTATGGGACCCACTTTGACATTAACTTGCTATCTGGCTTTCTGAAAATCTCTTCTCGTCTGCCTCTGAGGCTGGGTTTCTGTACATTTCCTAGGGGGATAATGAATGATACCTGTCCTGCCTGCCTATTGATAGGATGACCTTCCATAATAATGCAAAATGGTGACATAAAAAGACTTTAGAAATAACATAGTGTTCAAGGGTAAGGTAGATGCTTGCTGGTTGTTTCTTTTCAGTTTCATTCTCCAGAAGTTCTTTAAATAGTACAATTTTTCAGGAATCATTTTTAGGCATTCTTCTCATATTCCATTTCTGGGTGATCTCCTCCATTCTCATAGTTTCAGAATGTACACCAGCCACAAAGAACCATCTTCTGAGCTCCAGATATTTGTATAATTCCCAAGCCCTGCCTGGCCCAGGTTCAGTTTGGAGTTCCATTTAAAGAAATATAGTCCAGTCACTAAAAGCAATTGAAAAGTAATACTACTCTTGTGTCTTGAAGAATATAATAGCACGTAGGTTATAACTCAGCAATATTTCTTAAAATTGGTACCTCCCATATTCCCCAGTCAAGTCAGTCATTCCCTTCGTTATAGGATCTTATTTTTTTCTGTACTGACCCTGAGGCTCTCACAATTCTCTCCAGTCTTTTTTCATTTGAAATTCTGACAAACCGGATTTTTCGACCCATGTTTTCTGCTCCATTTATGTGTGTGTGTGTGTGTGTGTGTGTGTATGTATGTGTGTATATATATATGTGTGTGTGTGCGTGTGTATATATATGTATGTATTATATATGTATGTGTGTATGCGTGTGTGTGTGTGTGTGTAGTCTAGCATGAGAAAAGCCCAAAAACTATGCTGAGAAAGACCCAATTTTCTCTGAAGGATGAAGGAAGAAGGAGAGGCTGGTTATTCTGGCAAAGACTCTATTGGGTAGGAGAAGAGAGGGAGACTGGGGACATTCACATGTAAATAATCTATATTCTCAGCACACATACAGAGTGGTCTACTTGCTGCCTACTTGTGTTTTTCACAGAGCACCTCTGACTCAACTTGTCTGAAACTTGACCTTATGGTCCACCTAAACTTGCTTCTCTTTCAATATTATTTTTGTATAAAGTACCCATCAGGCTCCTAGTTGCTTATTCTGGACATCTGAACATCATCCTTAAATTCCTCCTCTCCCTATACTTCATGTGCCATCCAAATTCTCCTTAGCCTAGATACAAAATACATAATTTTAGGATCTTTTTAAAATTCCATTTCCAGTGCTGCCACTGTACTTATTGCTTCCTTGCAGTCAATTTTCCATACTCTAACCAAAGTCAACCTTTAAAAACATGAATCTGACTGTGACTTTTCCTCCTTTCCACTATTCAAAGGCTTCTATGTTAAGTACCAAACTCTTAATATAGCTTCTAAGATTCTTTATAATCTGGTTGGTCTCTGCTCACATCTTGAGAAATAGTACCCCCCCACAGGATGCCTTTGTTCCTGCCTCAAGGCCTTTGTCTAAGCTGCTCCAGTCATCTGAAGTATCTCTCACCCTCCACGCGCCCCCCCGCCCCCACCCCATCTAGCTTTAGCTTACTCATTCACTTGATCTCTGCTCATCCAAGGCTCTTCTGATTCCTCATCCAGTCCCTTCACCAAAGGCTCATGTTCCCCACACTTCCCCTTTGGTGAGGCCCATTACACCTGAAATGTAATTACTGGTCAAACACATTCTGCTTAGCAGAACCTAAGCCCCATGAGAACAGAGGGCATGTCTTTCATCTGTAGCACTCTGTTACTGGTACTTAGCACAGGACCCAGCTCAGATCAAATATTTTCATGAATGCTTGCTGATAAATGGATGCTGTTTCCATGATTTGTGCTGTTTGCCTCTCCCACCACACCTCTATGCATATTCTGCCTTGCACTTTCTATGTGATCTCTGAGAGAACCCCTGTCATTTTGTATTTTCTTAAGCTTATGCTCTACTCTACAGAATTGTCTGCCCAGCCTTTCCTAGCTACCACCTAATCATTGTCAGTATGCAGCAGTGTCAGCATCGAAAGATGGGGTACAGTGTATAACTACTGTGACCGTTACCATGTTATTTTGAACTTTTTTGATTGCATATATTTATGAATAGGGTTTGCGTGTAGCTTCCCTTACAAAAGGGACCCTATTTTGTTATACTCATCCTGATAATGCCAGCACCTAACACAGGTCAAACTGAATTGAAAAAGCCTCATAACTAGAGATATGATAATACTAGAAATTCTTGCTGATGTTATTGACTACTTTATGCTAGGTACAATTTAAGTGCTTTATTCTATGAACTCATTGATATTTCCCAGCTTCTATGAAAGAGTTACTTTTATTCTTTCTATACTATAGATGAGGAACTAGAGATCCAGAAAAGTAAGTTGTCTAGACTTACCCAGCTGGTACATGGCTAGGCTGGGATTTAAACCCACTGGTGCCAGAGTCTGTTCTCGTCTGTGGTGGTCAGTCAGTATAGTCTAGTGCTTTAAAAATTGGGTTCTGGAATCTTGCCGTCTGGATCAAATGCTGGTCCTTCCACTTGCTCATTATGAGACTTGGGGTAAGGTCCTTCTCTGAGAAATAGGAATAATTATATGTCCTTTATTGGGATGTTCTGTAGATTAAATAAAATAATCAGTTTATGTGAAATATCTAATAGAATGTAAGCAGTTGTAACAATGTTTAGTCAATGTGAGCATTCATTAGCTCTTTTGCGGTTCTTTCCAACTCTAAATCCAGTGACTCTTTTTATAGTTCTTCAGACTTTTCCCTGTCATTATCTGTTACTTCTCAGTGTTCTGGTGACCTGGGGACATCTCTGCATTTCCTATCAGGTAGAATCTGTGGGCTTTGTGATAAGCAATCCTGCCTAAAACCATGGCTCTGATTGCCTGTGCTCAAGTCTGTGGGCTAGCTGGCTGAATAAAGATCTCTGGCTAAGGAGAGGAACTGGATTCCCATTTATAGACATACTAAAGCAGAAAAATAAATCCAAATGATCAATTACTTTTGTCTGATTTTTTTAAAAGTTTAATAGTAAAAGAACTAAAAAGAATATACAATTATCTTGTCAACATTTTCCACAAATGCTTCCTCTTTCTAAGTTAGACAAAGGCCAGTTTAGGGTGGTTTGTGCTATTGAACTGATTAGCAGTCAGATGGAAATTTTCAGCTGTTCAGGTGATGATTTAATCACAAAGACTATACCTTGTTTACTTACATACTTGTTATTTTATGAAATTCATAAAATTATAAGATACTTTTCATTATTGCCATATATCGACGGGCACTACATAACATTGGTGGAAACTGCAGAGAATATAATTCTGAGACTTATTGGTCTGACTTGTATGCAAACTTATTAACTACTTACCGGTAGTTATACAACAATAAAGTGAATGTTCCAGAAACAGATATTTATTAACTAAATCTTGTCTGTCCATTTATTCATTTACTTTACTCAAAGATAAAGCAAATAAAAATAGGGCAAAAATATATTTAAAATAGGTGAAATTGAAGATAATTGTGGCATCAAGAGGGAGTTCAGTTCACAGGATAAATATCACGAAGTCTTAAACACTTGGTAGAGGTAGGCCTGCCTACCTAAAGAGGAAAATAAAACAGCCATGTGATTTATAGTGTTAATAAACACAAATCAGTTACTGAGAAGCATAACTGTGACTAGAGAGAAATGTCTCTTGTTGTCCAGAATGTGGTAAATAGTACATTCAACATACCTTGTATAGAAAACACAGCAACAGGTTTCTTAGCGTTGTTACCTTCCATACAGTCTACTTTTTGGCCTTATACAGATCAGTTCCTTAAAAGCAATTTTATGTGGGTCCGTTACGCAACCCATTGATGTTTTGGTTTAATCTAGAGATTTATAGTACCTACAGATATAAAAGATTAAATTTTCTTAGATAATCGTGTTTTTTTTTTTTTCACTGAGCTATTGGTGAGTATTGATTCGATATTAGTTTTAGGGTAAAAATAAGAAGTGAGCTAGGCATGGCCAGCAGGGCCACGATTTTCTTTAAGAAATTTTGAATGGGCTCAAAGTTGTGTACCATAGAATTGTAGTTTTATAAAAACATGGAGAGCATCAGGATCACCTGGAGGATTTTTAAAAGACAAGCCCATTTCCCCTCTGTAGATTCTTATTTAAGTCTGGGATGGGTGAGGGCATCTTTGTTAAATAACGACAATTAAAAAAACACATAAGTGATTTTAGTGATCAATGAAGTTTGAGAACTGCTACCATAAATTATGCTGCATTGATTTTAGATTTAAAAAAATTTAAAGCAGGTATAACCAAATACACGTAGCCATAAACCATCTATTATACTGTTAAGACCATCTGGTTTTGAAAACTGTAAATTCCCAAAGTATTGTCCATTGTGAGTTGTATCTGAAATGTACACCTACCCAATTGAATAAGGTGATTTAACGTATGGATTTCTTATTAGTAAACCAATTAAGAGTTTTGGTGTGTTTACTGGAAATGATGATTTCGAATAATAGGTATTCTGGGACAATTTTTTTTATCCTCACTATCATCTGATTACATTTTCATGTAGACTAAAAAATATTTCAATAATTCTATCTAGAGAGCATTTTCCTATTTTAGTCTTCAAAAAATTATAAAGCATACTTCTATGCCTTCTAAATTTATATGAGATCTCTATAGGTACTTTATTTCTGGCTTTCCAGTGATAATATGAAAAATGATATTCAGAGATTAGTATCTCACACATTTTTTACCTATCTGCAGTAGTCATTTGTTATAAACAATATCTTTAAATATGTGGTAAACTTTTGTTTAAAGTAGAAAACAAAGCCCGTGCGTGTGTGTGAATCTAGCACTAATATTTATCACAACAACAGAAAGCTTGAGTAAATGTCTTATGTTTACTTTTAATTTCCTTGCAGGCATTGCTTCCATGACAGTGCCAGTGTACATCGCCGAGGTCTCACCACCCAATTTAAGAGGTCGCTTGGTCACCGTGAATACTCTCTTCATCACAGGAGGCCAGTTCTTTGCAAGTGTTGTTGATGGAGCGTTCAGTTATCTACAAAAGGATGGATGGAGGTCTGTAAATAGTTCTTATATTTAATTTTCAAATAAATCATGATTTTAGAGGATGGGAGAAAAATTGAGAAATGTAGGAAAAATATAACTGGATATTTTGAATCATCATACCTAATTTATAAGTGGATGGCATTCAGCAAAACCGAAAGTGGACAAGAAGTTGATATTTATTTTAATGATAGACCAGCAGCCCACCATTGAGAATTGATATTTACAGGCTTTTTTTTTCTTTTTTAACATTTAGGTGACATTTCTCACACTGAGTAATCTTTTGCAATATTTGTTTAAAAATGAACGCAGCAATAAATATGCATGGAGTTCTTGAATTGTATCAGTGATTGACAAGCTGTTTATGAACTGCAGATAAAACTAACATTCTTTTTGGATTGAAGAGGTTACATTCTGATCTGAAAGAAAACTGTATTTAAAGATATAGACTTAGCTATACTGTATAAAAAAGATGTTATATATGTATATTTAAAATACACAAATTATTTCTTGATTACTGTTTGGCTTGTTTTGCATCAAAAAAGATGAGAAAATTATTTTTGAAATGGCTTGAAAATATTTTTAAACCAAATATTATAAAAATTAATGTTAGCTTAAAAATATTATGGGCTCTGGAATTTGATATACTTTATAGTATTCAGAACAACAGATTCATGTAACTGTTCCAAGGAGATTTTATTAAAAGTCACTACAGGTTACACAATATTCTCCAACTTCTTTTCTTGTCACCATTTATTACAATAAATGTTTATTGAGCATCTATTTTATATAGGTCCTGGGAATAAAATATTGAACAAGACAGACTCCAGTACTTAACTGCATGGTGTTTACAGTATTAAAGTTAACAGCTTAAGCAAAAAGGTTCAATGCAATGTGAATGTAGGGAATTAAATTTCTATTTAAGCAGCACAATAAATCCTATGGCTTAAGATGAGCTATTAAAGACTTAGGCTGGAGTTTTATTAAAAGTCATGTGAGAAAACCCAATGAAGCCATTTACTTGTCGGGACCATTAAAGAGAGGACACAGGTCTTAAGAAGCACTAGCTCTGTCTGCTGATGTTGCTAAACCACTTTCTACCTTTGAAGGAATGAATCCTGCCAAAGTAAGAAATTACTGGGAAAAAAAAACTATATTTATATGGGCAAATAATTTTTGACAAAAAAACCAAAAACATACAATGGAGAAAGGAAAGCCTCTTCAATAAATGGTGCTGGGAAAACTGGAAAGCCACCTGCAAAAGGATGAAACTCGACTGTTGTCTATCACCACACACCAAAAGTAACTCAAAAAGGATTAAGGACCTGAATATAAGACCCGAAAC